AGTTGAAAGCAGAAGCAAATACTAGATCTAAGACTCTTGAGCTCTTTCTATACTAGTATCTCGGACCTTGATCCTAGACTTGAGCTCTTTCTACACTAGGATTTCGGACCTTGATCCTCCCCTAGAAATGCATCAAAGCCACTCAGTGGTGTAGAAGTTGCTTTGAGCATCCCAAAGCCTGCCAGCGTGTTGTGAGGTCTCAGGGTACTTAATAAAAGCAATAATGCAGCAAGCAGGAACTCTTAATTCTTCAAAGTTCCTAGGTGGGAGTAATGGGTGACATCATAGTTAGAAATTACAGATATTACTCAGAATCCTTTTGTGACTTCGTTGTAAACATGGAAACTTCTGGCAAAAGATAATCTAGATTTGATACTAAAGATTATTGAGAACAAGATCAGTTGTCTCATTTAAACTGAACCTTAAGTATTGGCAACAAGTGTAGGAAATTATGCCAATATTATATTTCTAAGCAAGCCTGACTTTTAGCTTTTACTTTAAAAAGAGGATATTATGCCCAGATTTGCAATTTAGCCAACAAATGGAGTAATGTGTTTATTAATTAGGATTAGAGTTGGCTGCTTTTTAAAAATCCAAATACAAGTAGCTCAGTCAAGGTAGAGATTGATTTTTCTTTTTGATAAAAAACATCCAGAGGGAAGAAAAGTCCAACATTGGCATGGTTACTCCACAGCCATCAGGGACTTAGATTCTTCTCTTTTTTGCTCATCTATTCTTGGCACTACTTTACATCCTCAAGATGTCTAGTGATTCTAGATGGCTTCTGGACCTTTAGAAGGTCACATCTTTCACCTTTCATTCTAGCCATCTCTCTTGAAAGAATTTTTAGAATTATACACTCAGTGGCCAGGCGCAGTGGCTCATGCCTATAATCCCAGCACTTTGGGAGGCCAAGGTGGGCAGATCACTTGAGGCCAGGAGTTGGAGACCAGCCTGGCCAACATGGTGAAATCTCATCTCTACCAAAAACTAAAAAAAAAAAAAAATTAGCCCTAGTCCGTAGTCCCAGCTACTCAGAAGACTGAGGCAAGACTAAAACTAAAAAAAAAAAAAAAAATTAGCCGAGTCTGTAGTCCCAGCTACTCAGGAGGCTGAGGCAAGAGAATGGCTTGAACCCAGGAGGCGGAGGTTGCAGTAAGCTGAGATCATGCTACTGCACTCCAGCCTGGTCAGCAGAGCAAGACTCTGAATAAAAAAAAAAAAAAAAGAATTATACACTCATTTCTCCTTCCATCTCATTGGTCTTTCCTAATCGTCAAGGGAGGCTGGAGTTATAACTGGGCAACTTGCTATTTGCAACAATTAGAAGTTCTGGGCCAGGCGTGGTGGCTCATGCCTATAATAATAGCACTTTGGGAGGCCGAGTTGGGTGGGTCACTTGAGGTAAGGAGTTCAAGACCAGCCTGACCAACAAGATGAAACTTCGTCTTTACTAAAAATACAAAAATTATCCGGGCATGGTGGCAGATGCCTGTAATCTCAGCTACTCAGGAGGCTGAGGCAGGAGAAGGGCTTGAACCCAGGAGGCGGAGGTTGCAGTTAGCTGAGATCACGCCACTGCATTCCGGCCTCAGCAAAAGAGCAAGACTCTGTCTCAAAAAAAAAAAAAAAAGAAGTTATGTTATTTTAAAAGAAGGGGAGGCTGGGCGTGGTGGCTCACACCTGTAATCCCAGCACTTTGGGAGGCCAAGGCAGGCGGATCACGAAGTCAGGAGATGGAGACTATGCTGGCCAACATGGTGAAGTCCCATCTCTACTAAAAATTTAAAAATTAGCTGGATGTGGTGGCATGTGCCTGTCAATCCCAGCTACTTGGGAGACTGAAGCGTGAGAATCACTTGAACTCAGGAGGTGAAGGTTGCATTGAGCCGAGATCGTGCCACTGCACTCCAGCCTGGCAACCGAGCAAGACTCTTGTCTCAAAAAAAAAAAAAAAAAAGAAAAGAAAGAAAGAAAAGAAAAAAAGAAGGGGAGAGGCATCCTTGTAATCTCACTTTGGGAGGTCAAAGCAGGAGGATCAGTTGAGCCCAGAGATTCAAGACCAGCCTGAACAACATAGTGGGAGCTCATCTCTGGAAAAAATTTTAAAAAACTAGCCCAATGTGGTGGCATGTGCCTGTTCTCCCAGCTGTTTGGGAGTCTGAGGCAGGAGGATTTCTTGTCCCAGGAGGTCGAGGCTGCAGTGTGCCATGGTCACACCACTGCCCTCCAGCCTGGGTGACACAGTGAGACCCTGTCTCAAAAGAAAAAGGAGAGGGAGAGTGTATATGTGGATACTGGGCATGCAAACAGGCGCTGCCACAACCTGCTTTGAAGAATATAGTATTTATATTAGAAAATAACATTTTAGTGTCATCGAATCCTTATATAGGACATAAATTTAAAAGATCCCCAAACTGCATTTACCATGTGTCTGATTAATAAAAGCAGTAAATCTCCAGGACAGAGTGTTCTGCTTTGGATGTCTCAGCAGGAGTCATTGGAAACAACTATTGAGTTTTGTATATTTTTAAAAAACTGAAAAATGACTTCTTCAGAACAACAAGGAAAAAAAGACTCTTTGGGGCCTGGCGTGGTGACTCACGCCTGTAATACCAGTACTTTGGGAGGCCGAGGCGGGTAGATCACCTGAGGTCAGGAGTTTGAGACCAGCCTGGCCAACATGGGGAAACGCTGTCTCTACTAAAAATACAAAAATTAGCTGGGCGTGGCGGTGTGTGCCTGTAATCCCAGCTACTCAGGAGGCTGAGGCAGGAGAATGGCTTGAACTCGGGAGGCGGAGGTTGCAATGAGTCGAGATGGTACAAGTGCATTCCAGCCTGGGCTACAGAGTGAAACTCCATCTCAAAAAAAAAAAAAAAAGACACTTCAAATTAAATCCTTTTCTCTTTTGGAGATAGGAAGAATCAAGACAACCACAAAAACAATTGAACAGATATTTGTTGAACTAGCAGGAGTAATGTATATTAGAGGATACAAGCTAGGAATAAACATATTTAAAGAAAATGTTCAAGTTGTTTAGGGCTTAGGCCACGCATGGTAGCTCGCGCCTGTAATCCCAGCACTTTGGGAGGCTGAGGCGGACAGATCACTTGAGGTCGGGAATTCAAGACCAGCCTGGCCAACATGGCGAAACCCTGTCTCTCCAAAAGATACAAAAAAAAATTGCTGGACACCATGCCTGTAATCTCAGCTACTTGGGAGACTGAGGCGCGAGAATTGCTTGAACCCAGGAGGCGGAGGTTACAGTGGGCCAAGATTGCGCCACTGCACTCCAGCCTGGGTGACAGAATGAGACTCTGTCTCAAAAAAAAAAAAAAGTTGTTTAGGATTTGATGAATCAAGATAGACTAATACAATATATGAAATAGTTATTAATTCCAAACATGTGAGACCTATCCTTGAGAGAAGTATGTGTTAGATGTACATCTGCCTATATCCCACCCATAGAAATAAAAAGGGAATGGGGCCAGGCACAGTAGCTCATGCCTATAATTCCAGCACTTTGGGAGGCAAAGGAGGGAGGATTGCTTGAGCTTGAGAGTTGTTCAGGACCAACCTGGGTAACATAGTGAGACCCCATCTCTACAAAAAATCAAAAACTTAGTCTGGTGTGGTAGAGCAAGCCTACAGTCCCAGCTGCTACTTGGGAGTCTGAGCTGGGAAGATTGCGTTAGTCTGGGAGGCAGAGTTTGCAGTGAGCTGAGATCTCACCACTGCACTCCAGCCTGGGTGACATTGAGACCTTGTCTCAAGTTAAAACACTTAGAGGAAGAAGCAAACAATAATCTACAACATATACAACTGTAGACCACTATATACATAAATGTGTGAGATGGGAATGTTTCTGCTCTATGAAACCAGATAATTTTTTAAGTGTTCTGTAATCTTTTTTTTTTTTTCTTTGAGATGGAGTCTCGCTCTGTCACCCAGGCTGGAGTGCAATGGCGCCATCTCAGCTCACTGCAACCTCTGCCTCCCGAGTTCAAATGATTCTCCTTCCTCAGCCTCCTGAGTAGCTGGGATTATAGGTGTGTGCCACCACGCCCAGCTAATTTTTGTATTTTCAGTAGAGACAGGGTTTCACCATGTTGGCCAGGCTGGTCTCAAAACTCCTGACCACCTCGGCCTCCCAAGCCACCGCGCCTGGCTTCTGTAATCTTATTTAATATCTACTATTCTCATGGTACCAGTTATATATTTAGTGAATGCCTCATATTTACGATGCACTTTATAAAGGAAATTTATTCACAATTTGCCACTTAGGTGAAAAAGTCTGGATTTTGGCTTCTTAATAGCTATGAATTTCAGATCTGGGGAAAACCCAGCCTTGTGTTTTTTCCCCCTTTTCCTTTCATCAGTACTTATCAGCAACCAAACACTAAGTTTTGGTTAGTTGACTTTTCTCCAGCTGATAGAAAACAAAAAACTATAGAGACTCCCTGTGAAAAGAGGGCCAGTTGTGCTGGCCTGGGGCCAGGCTGCATTCTCTGTGACCTTGCCTTTTCAATCTGAGTTCTCCATAGGGCAACAGTTCCAAATAACCCATGTGGCTATGGCAGTAAGCATAGGGAGTGCTCATGAACCAGCTAATGTAACAAGTTCTGTTAGCTGGCCTTTGAGCTCAGTGAGCCATCCTTTGAGCCTTTTACGATACTGCACTTTCAGGCATCCTTTTGGGAAGATCTAATGGATCAGGGACCATTCTCTATCTTATAGCAGTGGAAATGTTTTTGGCACTGTGGTATTAAATAACTACTCATTTGAACATATTATGCAATGACTTAGCCTTTCCCATCATTATTCGTTCCCATTGAAGCTGTTGTGCTCAATTTAAGTTTCCAGTAGGGACTATGAAAGAAAATGGAAATCTCACAAATTGTACCTTTAAAAATATTTTGTTCAGTGCTAATACCATTATCTCATATTTTGGCTTTTGTGTCTCCCACTATATACCCCCATTTCCCCTCTGCTTTCAGGTGAAGGTCTCCCACAGGTGTATTACTTTGGACCATGTGGGAAATATAATGCCATGGTGCTGGAGCTCCTTGGCCCTAGCTTGGAGGACTTGTTTGACCTCTGTGACCGAACATTTACTTTGAAGACGGTGTTAATGATAGCCATTCAGTTGGTAAGTTGGAATTGCTATTCTGGAAGAGAATAGGCTGGTTCCTCAGCCACATCCTTGTGGGCCTTTGGTGATTTACTAACCATAGCGACACATCAAGAATTAGTACTCACAGGCTTGATGGCATTCTGGGAAGCTGGCTGGGGCAAAAAGGGTAAATTCAGAGAAGTCATACTACATCTGCAATTTGCTCTATTTTAAGACTTTGCACCTTGGAGCAATGCTCTGCCTTTAACTGAAGAGGAAGTATATAATTTAGATTAGGGGAAAAGAGGATGATTAGATAGAGTTGTAAAAATGTGAATAATTTTTTTGATTTTGTTTTGTTTTGTTTTTGGTTTTTGAGACAGGGTCTCTGTCACCCAGGCTAGAGTGCAGTAGCATGATCATAGCTCACTGAAACCTCAAACTCCTAGGCTCAAACGATTCTCCTGCCTCAGCCTCTGCAGCAGCTAGAACTGCAGGTGCCATGCCAGCTCATTTTTTAAAAAAAAGTTGTGGAAACAGGCTCCCACTATGTTGCCCAGGCTGGTCTAAACTCCTGGTCTCAACTGGTCCTCCCACCTCGGCCTCTCAATGTGCTAGGATTACAGGCATGAACCACTGCACCCAGCCTATTTATGTGGTTTAAATATAGCTGTAAGGTTTTGTCATGTCCTATCTCTTCCTTCAGTGTTGCAACCAAGAAAATATTGACGATATAACCCATTGCACTAACACTCAGATTCACAATTGTGTGACCAGGAATTTGCAGTAGTTCTCTGGCCTCCAGTTCTCTCAGAGACAAATTTCAGCTGAAGAGGCAGCTCTTGTAGCGCCTACCAAATTACACCCCAATACCAGTTTAATAAGCAGTTCCTACAGTTCCTTTGAGAAGTCTGACATAAGCCCTTTGGGGAATGATGCAAATATATCTTCATTTATTTGAAATGGTAATGGTCTCTCCCACTGTCCTATAAAAATTTGGAAATGTGAGCTAATTGACTTTGACTTTTGAGCCCCAAATTCAAATATCTGAGCTTCTCTTTCTCTACTAAAAGTTAGTAGAAAAGGGCTGGGCATGGTGGCTCACGCCTGTAATCCCAGCACTTTGGGAGGCCGAGGCGGGCAGATCACGAGGTCAGGAGATTGAGACCATCCTGGCTACCACGATGAAACCCCATCTCTACTAAAATATAAAAAATTAGTCAGGCATGGTGGCGGGCGCCTGTAGTCCCAGCAACTTGGCGGGCTGAGGCAGAAGAATGGTGTGAACCTGAGAGGCGGAGCTTGCAGTGAGCCGAGATCGCGCCACTGCACTCCAGCCTGGGAGACAGAGTGAGACTCCGTCTCCAAAAAAAAAAAAAAAGTTACTAGAAAAGCTTAGTAGATAGAAATACTTAATAAAATTTGAAATACTCTTATGATTATTATTTTTTATTATATTTAACTTAACATAAAAACTGTAGCCCTGGCCGGCATGGTGGCTCATGTCTATAATCCCAGGACTTTGGGAGGCTGAGGTGGGAGGATCACTTGAGGCCAGGAGTTTGAGACCAGCCTAGGCAACATAGACCCCATCTCTACAAAAATAATCTTCAAATAAATTTAAAACAACAAGAATGAACTGTTTTGGGGAGGCACGGTGGCTCATGCCTGTAATCCTAGCACTTTGGGAGGCTGAGGAGGGCGGATCACCCAAGGTCAGGAGTTTGAGACCAGTGTGGCCAACATGGTGAAACCCTGTCTCTACTAAAAATACAAAAATTAGCCAGGCATGGTGGCACGTGCCTGTGATCCCAGCTACCCGGGAGGCTGAGGCACAAGAATTGCTGGAACCCAGGAGGCTGAGGCTGCACTACACCCTGGGTGACAGAGCAAGACTCCATCTCAAAGAATAATAATAATTATAATAACAACAATAATAATAATGAACTGTTTCCCTGTCTCTGCTGTTAATTAGCTATGTGATGTCAGTCCAGTATTAACTTCTCTGGGCCTCACAACATCGAAAGTTGGGTTGGGTAGTCTTGTCCAACTAAGGATAGGAAGATGTGGGCAGAAGGTGAATGTGGCAGTGGCATTTGTCTCAAAGGTCACCAACAGTTTGATATCGTACCTGGGAATACTTCTTTTCTCTCAAGTGCTTAATTTTCTGAAGTAGCATATAAACAACTAATTTCATTCGTCATTTGCAAATTGTGACATTATGAGGTAAAATTGAGCTATCATTTTAGTAGACCTGTACTCTCTCACTTTCTTTTCCTAGTCTTGATATTTGTTATGTACATATTTATAACAAAATATTTTTTTGTTTACAAGTCAGTGAAGTGACTCTGGGTGATGAAAGGAGATAAATTTTATGTTATTTCAGTAATTAAAACCTTGGTCTCATTAAAGAAAATGTTTTGATGTATTTTCCTGATATACTTCTTTAGAGTATTTCCATCATTTATTTCTCTTTTAGCTTTCTCGAATGGAATATGTACACTCAAAGAACCTCATTTACCGAGATGTCAAGCCAGAGAACTTCCTGATTGGTCGACAAGGCAATAAGAAAGAACATGTTATACACATTATAGACTTTGGACTGGCCAAGGAATACATTGACCCCGAAACCAAAAAACACATACCTTATAGGGAACACAAAAGTTTAACTGGAACTGCAAGATATATGTCTATCAACACGCATCTTGGCAAAGGTGTGTTTTTTTCTGTTCCACGAAAGGGGCAAGTCATTAGAACAGTTTATTATTCCTGTAACACTTATATCGTCATTGTGCATTACAACTTGTGGTTTTTATTGCTTCACAAGGTTAAGTGATTTTTATATATGAGAAGTTGAGATGGTAAGTTAATGACTTTTCAAAGAATCCTATAGACTATGCATAGGTTCTTAATTCTTTACACTGTACTTCCAAATGTTTAGTTTCTGAGCAGTGTGAGTACTTGAATTATTGTAAAAAGAGGATAGCATTTTAGTGAGTTTAGTAAGGAATTTGGTATTTACTTATGTATGACTCCATTTATGACAGTCCTGAAAAGGACATCAGGCTGGGTCAGCTGTGGGGAAGAGTGCCTCACTAAAAATGGAGTAGACTTCTGTTCACTGCACGTAGTTCTGCACAGAAGTCTTCAAGGAAGAGCTTCTGTCTTATTCAGTGAAAATATGCTTGGTTTCCCATTAGTTTTGCATTTTACTCAGGATAAACAACTTGCACAAATGTTGTTAAATGCTCTAATCAAGGCAGAAGACCTTACCTGTGAGGAACTATTCCAAGGGGGAGAGTATTTGTCAGAGAAGCCTAAGGAACAATGGGGAGACCAAGCAGGCAGAGCCCTGGGCTTTTCTGCTTCAAAAAAAGCCTCCCTTTTTTATGTTTCGTATATTGGGCTTCGATGGGAGACTCTATTTGGAGAAAAGACTCCTAGGTGATTGAAAAAAACGTGTTTGAAAATCAATATTCTAGAGCGTACACAAGCAGAATATTCTCAGATTCCATACTCCTAGACAGAAATAATTATAAAATATTCTTAAATATTAATGAACTGCTGCACACTAAGATGTATTTATTTCATTTATTTATTTATTTTTTTGAGATGGAGTCTCACTCTATCACCCAGGCTGGAGTGCAGTCATGCAATCTCAGCCCACTGCAACCTCTGCCTCCCGGGTTCAAGCAATTCTCCTCCCTTAGCCTCCCGAGTAGCTGGGATTACAGGCATGCACCACCACGCCTGGCTAATTTTTGTATTTTTAGTAGAGACGGGATTTCACCATGTTAACCAGGATGGTCTTGAACTCCTGACCTCAAGTGATCCATCTGCCTTGACCTCCCAAAGTGCTGGGATTACAGGTGTGAGCCACTGTGCCCAGCATATTTATTTTATTTTTAGAGACAGAATCTCACTCTCACTCAGGCTGCAGTGCAGCAGTGTGATCATAGCTCACTATAACCTCAATCACCTGAGCTGGAGAGATCTTTCTCAGCCTCCTCAGTAGCTAGGGCTGTTGGCGCATGCCATCATGTCCAGCTAACTTTTAAATTTTTTTATAGAGACAGAGTCTCACTATGTTCCCCAGGCTGGTCTCAAACTTCTGGTTTCAAGAGATCCTGTTGCCTCAGCCTCCCAGCGCACTGGGATTATAGATGTGAGCCACCGTGCCTGGCCTGCACTTTAATAAGTATTTTAAAGACTAATGTAATATCTACTAAGTAGCCTCATTGAGTAAACTACAGAAGTTATTCACCTGAGAAATTCAAGTGATAGTGAAGAGTAAAAAATGGCACTACAAAGTAGTATGATACAATTTGATTTGAAATTATGATGTTATCAGGATTTTTTCAGTAACCACATGAAAATCCTCACTTAAATAAATGTAATACTTTAAAATTAGACTAGAAGTCCTCTGGCTCTTATTATCAGCGTTACTGTGGACAAGTTACTTAATCTCACTGAAACTCCTCTGTAAAATGAGGGTAAAGCTTCACAGGGATATTTTAAAGGTTGAATGGATAATATATGTGAAAGCACCATGTCTGACTTAGGTCTCTTGCATAGTGCTTAGCATCCCCTTCTTCCTTCATAATGACAAGTACTTTTCCATTTTACAAGGAAACAAAAACTGTATCTTAAATAATAAACTTATGATTGTGTGGTTTAACTGACAAACTCTAGAAGTTGTTTTAATGCCCACTTCCTGGGCTCAGCCGTTCGTGTACTAATTTTATTGTTTTTAAGAGGAAAGACAAGAACAGACAAGGGATGGGTGTTCATGTTGTGTTTGTATAAGATAAAGAGTAGTGGTTAAGAAAAAGTATGCAAATCCTGGCGCTCTTACTTAATAGCTATGTAATTTTGATCCAATAACCTTCTTCCCTTAGCCTTGGTTATCTCATGTATGAAATGGATATGATATTTATGCCTGTAATATATGGTTCTGAGATAATGTATGTAAAATGTTTAGCATAATGCCTTATCAGTCCATATTGTAATTATCCTGATTGTTATTTATTCAACAAAATCTGTTTTAAGCATCTACTGTGCATCAGACTGTTACGTCTCTTGGTGTACTGCCATTCCTGCCGGAACTTTTGAGTTTACCCCCAGACTTGGCTTACTGAGTACCAGAGTTTTCCAGGTCAAATCTAACCTGTCATCATATTTTGTATTCTCCACATTACAGAGAATACATACAGAAAGTTGTCACTGCTTTTTAAACCCTTTCCCATGCCTCAAACGATAGAGGTCTTTGTAGGAACTCTAATGCTATTGGTTTTTAAATGTGTTGCATTTTTTGTGTTGCAATGAAGAAGGGACTGGGATATGTGTTTTCAAATGGCTTTGGGAAAATCACTTCTTAGTTTTATGGAGGAGGAGAACAAGAGAAGAATCCTCCTAAACCTTACATTAGTTGCCACATCAGAGTAGCCACACTTAGTCCATTTTGTGTTGTTATAAAGGAATACCTCAGGCTGGGTCATTTTATAAAGAAAAGACATTTAAATTCGACTTAGAGTTCTGCAGGCTATACAAGAAGCATGGCACTGGCATCTGCATCTGGTGAGGGCCTCAGGGGCCTCATGCTGCTTCCACTCATAGTATAAGGGGAAGGGGAGCAGCCAGCATGTGCAGATCACATGGGGAAGGGGGTGCTAGGCTCTTCTCACCAACCTGCTTTCTTGGGAACTCATCCCTAAGGGAGGTCATTAATCAATTAATGAGGGATCTACCCCCATGACCCAGACACATTCCATTTGGCCCAACTTTGAATATTGGGATCAAATTTCAATGTGAGGTTTGTGTGTTGGGGAGTCCGGGGGAAGACAGAAATCTATTACCATAGCAGCCACCTTTCCACTGATTAAGCTGTGACTGAGACAGCCCAATTTATATTATTTAATGGTTGAAATTAGGGTGAGAACACTGGGTTGCCTTGCCCCCTGCCTTCAACAAATATATTTAACCTAAAATCAGGGATGTTATGCATGTAAACCAAGCACATCTTTCTGATTGGATGAAAGAACACCGTTCAACCAGTCAGAAGAACTGAAGAATTTTGTGCCCTGCTGGTCTCACTGGTATTGGAAACCTTTCTTCTTTGAAAATGAAAATATTCTGCATGAAGAAATGAGGGCATGTAGAAATAATGAATTGGACAAGTGTGGAGTGTTCAAAGTCGTATGAAAATAAAGCATGGCTGGTGATTTAGGTACCCTTATTTTAGGTACCTTATTTAGGTACCCTTATTTAAGTACCCTTCCTGATTTAGGAACCCTTCTTTTTCCTATTGTCCCATATTCTACAGTTCTTTTTCATAGTTCTCAGGATTTGAAAAGTTACTTTATTACTTATTCCAGTGAGTTTAAACAATTTTTTAATCTCATAATTTATTTTGCTGTGAAATCTTTTTTCTGTAGGCCTGATCAATATTGAAAATATGGAGAGTTTTGTCCTCTAGTGCTCAACTATCTAAAATTCAAACATTTGTCCAGTGAATTTTTAATAACCAAGGGGCCTCTTGTTACAGGAAGTGGATATAAAAATGGAGAGGCGATGAGTGGGTGTGATACAGTATGAGAAACTGCAGAGTCGTTTTTCTATCTGCCCTGCTTTGTGGGAGGCCTCCACTCACTCTCCTTGTTCTTTTCTCTTTTTCATTTGTGCATCTTTAGATTCTGTCAACACACTGTTTTTGTATAACTACTTTTTTGTTTTCAATTGTGAATATTTTATTACAAACCAGACAAGTCATGTAGACAAAGGATTCTGATGGTTGTGCTGTTTTATTTCATTCTTTTTAAGATTGTTTCAATTGATGTATACCAACTGGGTTTTATGTTATTTATCTCTGTCAGGGTACCCCTCCTTTCCATTAGTAACCATGTTTTTACAACCTCCATCAAATCGCTATTTTAAAAGTTGCCTTTTCTTTCCTCATCTACCCTGTAGACTACTATTCTTTTTCATGCAAATTTCCTATAATTTAAGGCAGTAGTTAAACATGTTGTACTTCTGTATTTTGAGTTAGCTGAGTGGCTTTCTCTGGCTCTCTTGGGTTTTACTTTCTATACAAAGAAAGCACAATCAAGTTGAAGGTAGCCTCTTAGTCTTGCTTCTGTCGTTTATTCTGATAAAGCCCTAAACTTGATTATGAAAAATAAACACATAAAATGTCTGAGATGGGCCAAGTGTGGTGGCTTACACTGTAGTCGCAGCACTTTGAGAGGCCAAGGCTGGTTGATTGCTTGATTGGCCCAGGAGTTCCAGACCAGCCTGGGCAACATGGCAAAACCCAGTCTCTATAAAAAATACAAAAAGTAGCCGGGGTGATAGTAGTGGTGGTGCATGCCTGTAGTCCCAGCTAGTCAGGAAGCTGAGGTGGGAGGATCACTTGAGCCCAGGAGGGCGAGGCTGCAGTGTCCAAGATCATGCTACTGCACTCTAGCCTAGGCAACAGAGTGAGACCTTGTCTCAAAAAAAAAAAAAAAAAAAAAGTCTGAGACTAAATCATAATTGGCAAATTCAAAATGAATGCATGGGCTGGGTACGGTGGTTCACATGAGTAATCCCACAGTGTGGGAGGCTGATATATTAGGTTTGCTTGAGGCCAGTAGTTTGAGACCAGCCATAACAAGACCCCATCTTCATAAAAAATAAAAATAAATAAATTAGCCGAGTGTCATTCCACACACTTAGATTCCTAGCTACTCAGCTGAGGCAGAAGAGTCCCTTCGGCTCAGGAATTTGAGGCTGCAGTGAGCCATGATCACAACACTGCACTCCAGCCTAGGCAACAGAGCAAGGATTCTGTCTTTAAGAAAGAAGAAAAAAGAAACGAAGATGTGTACTACTTAGATTCTGTCCAACAAAGAATGTGTAGGATGTTTTCTGAGATGAAGCTGCAGTTTTGTGTTAACTATTTTGCAGTTCTTTGTCATCTTCACCTTCTCAATTAAAAGGAGAGAAAAACCCAGCAACTTGTTTTAGATACGCTTCCAGAATGCAGGGACTTTGATTTTTTGTTCTATTTTGTTTTGGGATGAGGTCTTACTATGTTGCCCTGGCTTATCTTGAACTCCTGGGCCGTAGCGATCCTCTCACTTGAGCCTCTTAAGTAGCTGGGACTACAGATGTGTGCAGCCTTACCCATCTAATTTTGAGGGGACCTTAGTAATAAATTTTAAAATGTTTTTGAGGTTATAGGAGATGGTACAAATTGAATGGGAGCCAAGAGAGTATGTACTGATGTTCATTGATATGAAAACTGAATTTTAAGTGTTAATTTTTATGATGAATAAAAAGCACTTGGCATGTTTGCTAGGCATTTTGCAGCTTGTATCTTTGCAGGCCTAGCCAGAATGGACTGTTTTAACAGTTTGGGTTGCTTAATCTGCTACTCACTCCGTGGTGGTAACTAAAGGGTAACTGTAGCCCATATACTGGAAATAACATTTCATTAAAATTTTATCACTTTCAGGAAGGTGACAGCATTGAGTGAGGGGTGGTAATTCACTGTTTAGTGATTTGGGCTTGGTTTTAATTCAGGATTTGCTCTTTTCTCTTGATATTTACTTACTATCAACAGATCTAGACAAAGGAAGTACACATTGGTTTGAGGTTTTGATCTAAAATACTATCCTTGATTTAAATATACAAGTAATGAGTAAGCAGAGCCTTTCCAGAGCTGAAGGGTTTCTGAAGGGATTACTTGGTTTTGAACCTTTTTCTGCTGTAATAACTGCAAACATAATGTGTGATCTGTCTTCCCTTTTAGAGCAAAGCCGGAGAGATGATTTGGAAGCCCTAGGCCATATGTTCATGTATTTCCTTCGAGGCAGCCTTCCCTGGCAAGGACTCAAGGTATCCTTGAAAGTGTTCAGTGGAGGGCTTTGTTGCTATGCTCAGTTGTTAATGAAGAGGCCTCTGGCTTCATGTTTTTAAGAAATGTGTAGAGGGCTGGCCAGATGTGGTGGCTGATGCCTGTAATCCTAGCACTTTGGGAGGCTGGGGTGGGAGGATTGCTTGAGTCCAGAAGTTTGAGATCGGCAACATAGTGAGACGCCATCTCTATTTAAAGATAAATAAATATTTTTTAAAACAACACAAAAAGGATTATTGATTATAGAGATAAGAAACAAGGACTAGTTACATTAGTCTACACTATAAATGCTCTCCTGGGCTTTGGAAACTGTTTTGTTCACTGTTTGTCTTCCCTTTCTTAATTTTTCCTTGTTTTTGGATTTTCCATGATCTTTTCTCTCATTTCCTCCCAGCCTTGACAGTGCTGCTTTTCTTTCTGTGTTGGTATTCCTCCTCCACTACCATTATGTAGCAGGAGGAGTGTTCCCAGTATGTAAGGGAATTTCTGGAACAAATTGTTGACAACAGCTGCTACACATTTTACCAGAAAGGCCAGCAGGGTGTGCTCCTCAGGAAAACTTAGAAAATATGTAGGCTAAGAACTCACCTGAACTAAAATGAAAATCCAGGTTTAACATTGCTGTTCAAGTGTATTATTGAATAAATGCCTATTCAGACAATAGCTATTCACTGTAAAATGTGTAAAGTTTAAATAGCCTTCCTTAGGTAGGTGTCAGTACGGTGGTTACATGTCAGTTTACTATGATAATTATGAGCATTATCATTACTCTGTGCATTTGGCTGTTTGACTAGGAAATGGTAAGCTTCTAACCCCTTGTAAGTCCCATTAGTATTTTGTGAGACTTTTTTTTTTTTGAGACAGAGTTTTGCTCTGTTTCCCAGGCTGGAGTGCAGTGGTGCAATCTTGGCTCACTGCAACCTCCGCCTCCCAAGTTCCAGCAGTTCTCCCACCTTAGCCTCCTGAGTAATTGGGATTACAGGTGCACGCCACCATGCCCAGCTAATTTTTTGGGTTTTTTTTGAGACGGACTCTGGCTTTGTTGCCCAGGCTGGAGTGTAGTGGTGTGATCTCAGCTCACTGCAACCTCCGCCTCCTGGGTTCAAGCAGTTCTCCTGCCTCAGCCTCCTGAGTACCTGGGACTACAGGCACATGCCACCACGCCTGGCTAATTTTTGTATTTTTATTAGAGACGAGATTTCACCATATTGGCCAGGCTGGTCTCAAGCTCCTGACCTCGTGATCCGCCTGCCTCGGCACAGGCATGAGCCACTGCACCCAGCCAATTTTTTGTATTTTTAGTAGAGATGGGGTTTCACCATGTTGGTCAGGCTGGTCTCAAGCTCCTGACCTCAAGTGATCCGCCCATCTCAGCCTCTCAAAGTGCTAGGATTACAGGCGTGAGCCATCGCGCCTGGCCCAAGACATATTTTTTGGTTGTAATTTATTTCAACATACTAACATGGAAAGAAACTTAATCAGTAGTTTGGGGTACTCCTACATCCCGTCTTCCAGAAAGGCAGGATGGTTCATTTTGCTGTAGGCTTTCTAGAATACTGTCCTAAAACGTAAGACTTCTACCCATTGCCTTTTAGATGTTATTTCTTCACTCTTAAATTCCTCTCCTGTTATATACATCTTCTCATTGATGTTTATAGCTTTCAAATATAGTTTCATGTCAAACTTGGTCATCATACAGCCAAACAATGCATTAGTGTATTATTAATTGCTTGAAACTCTCTCGTCCATAAATCATTTTAGTGATAGTTGTAGACCTAAAATTTCTCCTACTCACTTCAGAACGCTATTGCTTAAGTCTGAGTGCAGCAAGCTAGGTAAAGCCTGACAACAATTCCCTAGGAGCCCACTGTTGGTCCAGGATTCAAAAGCCCTCTGACTATAGCTCTGACCATACCAGACTTGGGCTGCTTTTGAGATACTGACATACACCAACTCTGCTAGCCATGGCTGTACCATAGACAACTTTTTTCCCTGTGGAAACACGTTGTTGAAATACATTTTTCAGTTATTGTTTTTTTTTTTTTTTTCTGTTCAAAGTCTCTATATATATGTAGTACAATTACTTATCTGTTTCCCCCACCTGGATTAGCAATACTTTTAGAGCTGATCTAAGAGAGAATGCTGAATCACATTGAGTTATGGTAGCCATGGGAGATTACTAAGCTTCTGCAATTTTGAAAATATTGCCACATAATATTGTTATTTTCTTATCCTAGCCACTCATCCATTGTATCTGATGGTGTTTATCTGAGACAACTAAATATTTTCGCAAGTAAAATTTTCCAGAACACAGCAGATGTTTGTGTATATCTAAATATATAATTTCTACTACATTTCTTATTTGTGTTAGAAAAAAAATCAAGACCAACAAATACTGTGAATTTGAGTGAAACAACCATTGTGTCCAAAAACATATTGAATCTCCCATGCTTAGGACATCTTTTCAAATAACTTTCTCTTTACTCTCTACAGGCTGACACGTTAAAAGAGAGATATCAAAAAATTGGTGACACCAAAAGGAATACTCCCATTGAAGCTCTCTGTGAAAACTTTCCAGGTGGGATGCTAAAAAGACATTCCAGTCAGTGTGACTGAGCTTTGAAATAGGTAGAGTCCATGACTGGGTATCTCTAGATAAGGGTGCTGTTTAGGTAATTAACATTTCCTTTTGTGATACAGACCAAAGTAGGTTTTATCGCTTTTATTTTGTCTGTAAAGAAAACATCAGTGTTAAATTGTCTGTATAAATAACCCCTTTGTGGCCCAGTGCTTCCCCACAACCACTATGGAAAGCATTCAGCTAATGAGCAGGGCCTTTCATCTCTTTCCTGACAGAGGAGATGGCAACCTACCTTCGATATGTCAGGCGATTGGACTTCTTTGAAAAACCTGATTATGAGTATTTACGGACCCTCTTCACAGACCTCTTTGAAAAGAAAGGCTACGCCTTTGACTATGCCTATGATTGGGTTGGGAGACCTATTGTAAGTATCTTCTTTTTTTTTTACCTCATTACCTCCTTTCTCCAACCAGCACTGCCTCATGCCTTTACTTGTCAGTCTTCCTGCTTGAATCTTTAGTAAAAATATTCCTTTGATCGTAGACTGTTTATTTACCAGCCTTGTCTGGGTGTTGCCATAGGTTGCTCTTACTAGTTCAGAAGTAGGAAGGAGTTATGTATTTTTTCCTAGTGATATAGGAAGATAATAACTTGCATGTCCTAAGATAACAGAATTTAAGCCCGGTTTTTAGGAGAAATTTCATTTGAATGATTCAGACGTTGTTTTGGTTTTGTTTTGTTTTGTTTTTCAGAGAGTCTCTCTGTCACCCAGGCTAGAGTGCAATGGCGCCAATCTTGGCTCAGTGCAACCTCTGCCTCCTGGGTTCAAGAGATTCTCCTGCCTCAGCCTCTCAAGTAGCTGGGATTGTAGGCATGTACCACCACACCTGGGTAATTTTTATATTTTTAGCAGAGACGGGGTTTTGCCACGTTGGCCAGGCTGATCTCAAACTCCTGACCTGAGGTGATCTGCCCGCCTCGGCCTCCAGAAGTACTGGGATTACAGGCATGAGCCACCATGCCCGACGCCATGATTCAGAAGTTGATGCCACATACGCTGTTAATGTACTTGACCTTTGTAGGAGTGGAACCCAGCACCATAGGAAGCTTTTGAATTTGTTGTTCTGGTCAGGGGTTCACAGGGCCAAACAGATACCACTGGAGGATTTTTTTTTTTTTTTCCGGAGTTTCACTCTTATTGCCCAAGCTGGAGTGCAATGGCATGAACTCAGCTCACCACAACCTCCGCCTCCCGGGTTCAAGTGATTCTCCTGCCTCAGCGTCCCGAGTAGCTGGGATTACAGGCGCGTGCTGCCACACCTGACTAATTTTGTATTTTTAGTAGAGATGGGGTTTCTCCACGTTGGTCAGGCTGGTCTCGAACTTCTGACCTCTCAGGTGATTCACTCACCTTGGCCTCCCAAAGTGCTGGGATTACAGGCGTGAGCCACCACACCCAACTCTGGTTTTTTATTTTTGAAGGTAAGCTACTCTCCAATGAACTATTGAGGACCAGGCTGCCTCCCTTTTGCAGATGAGCAAACTGAGAAGACAAGACAACTTGAAAGTGCTCTTGGTAGCTGAAAATAATTACTACTACTCTATTAGAATTAGAATTATTCTGTCGTTTGCATATGCATCAAGTTGGACCTCTTCCCCCCATTTGACTTTTTGTTTCATTTTTCCAGCCTACTCCAGTAGGGTCAGTTCACGTAGATTCTGGTGCGTCTGCAATAACTCGAGAAAGCCACACACACAGGGATCGGCCATCACAACAGCAGCCTCTTCGAAATCAGGTATGTGTTAATCCTTCATTATTTCAGACACTCTACTTCTTCATGGCGAATATTAAAACCCAAATTCTTCAGCTTCTCTGCTTTAGTGTATATACTGAAAATAAAGATCAAATGCTTACCATTTCTTACAGGTGTGGTATAACTCTCAAGCAACCCTCAGAGCATGTATAGTTGCACTGAAATGTGGCCAGGTGCCTTATATGAAGTATCCAGTCTAAAGAGTAGGCCTGGCCAAGTGCGGTGGCTCATGCCTGTAATCCCAGCACTTTGAGAGGCCAAGGCAGGTAGATCACTTGAGCTGGGAGTTCAAGACCAGCCTGGGCAACATGGCGAAACCCTGTCTCTACATAAAATACAAAAAATTAGTTGGGCATGGTGGCACATGCCTATAGTCCCAGCTACTTTGGAGGCTGAGGTGGAAGAATCACCTGAGCCTGGGAAGTCGAGGCAGCAGTGAGCCAAGATTGCTTGCGCCTTTGCATTCCAGCCTGGGTGGACCCTGTCTCAGAAAAAAAAAAGAGTGTTGGCCTGTCAGAGTCTGTTGGCTGTAGGGGGAACTAGCTATATGTTAGGATCTGAGGCATCTACCATAGGACCAAAAGACCTGTTGGAGGCTACTCTGGGCACACAGTGCCTGTGGAGTAGCCCTGCTCACCAAGGAACAGTTTAAAAAAAAAAAAAAAAAAGACCTGTTGGACAGACAGGATGTACCAGGTAGCCCACTTTCGGTCTCATCTGTAGTCTAGTCTAGAGCTCTTGCCAGTTCTGGTTTTTCCTTGCTGATTAAGAGAGGTAGATAAGGCCCGGTGCGGTGGCTCACGCCTGTAATCCCAGCACTTTGGGAGGCCAAGGCAGGCGGATCACAAAGTCAGGAGATCGAGACCATCTTGCGTAACACGGTGAAACCCCATCTCTACTAAAAAATACAAAAAAAAATTAGCTGGGCATGGTGGTGGCCGCCTGTAGTCCCAGCTACTCGGGAGGCTGAGACAGGAGAACCTGTAGTCCCAGCTATTCAGGAAGCTGAGGCAGGAGAATGGTATGAACCCAGGAGGCGGAGCTTGCAGTGAGCCGAGATCGCGCCACTGCACTCCAGCCTGGGCAACAGAGTGAGACTCTGTCTCAAAAAAAAAAAAAAAAAAAGAGTGGTAGGTAATTTGGACTTCCAACTGACTTGGGCATGAAATGGAACCTCCACACCACCCCTTGTTCTTCTACCCGGGAAAATTATAGAGCTGGTCAAGATTTAAAATGGACCTGCAGTGAAGATTCAGATTAGGTCATATCATCTGTCCTTCAGTGTTCATTGTTTGGAAAACTAGTGGTCTAAATGAGGGACATCTCTCAGCCTAAAGACAGATGAGGCAAACACACCAAAAAATCAACAAATTTGACATTTTAAAAAAGGGCTTATGTATTTGGGAAGTAAATATGACACAGGATTTTATCTTTATATTAAATATATTGCTAAGAGAAAAACAGAGACCACAGTAGGTAAATAAGCAAAGCATAATAAACAGATTATGTATTTTTAAAATAATTATCACACATCAAATTAGCTTATTTCCTCTCCTTATGACCTCACTTTTTTGTATTAACAACATTTTTACAAGAAAATACAAAAACATTTGTTTCATAGATGCACATATGCAAGTATATATACGTTAAGAATAGTATATACAAACACGCACACACACATGTCCAGTGGAGTACACCCACAAATATATTTTCTCACTAGTAAGTATATACTCTTGGCAAAATGTGTGGTTTGGTGGGTAAGAAAAAAGTATGTGAAAGAAGGAAAGCCATGTACTAGAGAGTAAATATAAAGGAGAAGATAGGTAGGCAAAAAAGAAAAGATTTAGCAAACTCTGGACACTAATTGGGTCCATAGTCACATCCTTTAATTAAAATTGTTGTTTAAGACTTATAATTTGACTGACTTCTGGTTTGACAACAAAAGACAATGTTGACTTCTGCAGTTCTCTCCCATCCCTCCCTTTTTAAAAGCTAATAGCTAGTGTGGGTGAGGGCACAGTTAAACTGACATATTGCTGTTGATTTTACAAATTGATACAAATTCTCTAGAAAGCAATTTCTTCTTTTTTTCTTTTTATTTTTATTTCTTTCTTCTTCTTCTTCTTCTTCTTAATAACTATAACCCAGTTTATTCAATAAAGGATGTGAAGTAGATTTATAACCACCGCCTTTATAAGTGGATAGGCAGATCATTTCTGAATCTTTGCTACCAATGACAATGCAACAGTTTATGCCACATAACCTATACTTTGGTTGTTTTTACTGATTGATTTCAAGAAGGTATTTCATCAGGAGAAGAAAATAACTTGATCAAATGCTTTCTAGCCAGGTGAAGTGGCTCACGCGCTGTAATCAAGTACTTTGGGAGGAAGGCAGGTGGATCACCTGAAGTCAGGAGTTCGAGACCAGCCTGGCCAACATGGCGAAACACCATCTCTAATAAAAATACAAAAATTAGCCCGGTATGGTGGTATGTGCCGTAATCCCAGCTACTCAGGAGGCTGACGCAGCGAGAATCACTTGAATCTGGGAGACCAGAGGTGGAAGTGAGCTGAGATCGCACCACTGCACTCCAGCCTGGGGACAAGAGTAAGACGCTGTCTCAAAAAAAAA